GTCAGAAGATGAGGCTCTCGGAACCTGCAGCCCATTGCAGATGGTGTCGGACATCCACCATTTGAGGGAAAGGGGGACCTCTCGTGGAAACTGCACTCTGGTTGGGGATGTCCTCTGGCGAGCCCTCTGATATGGAAGGAGGAACTACTGCAGAGCCCTGCTGTGGAAATGTGTCTAACTGATGAGAGAAGCCGAACTCTCCATTCTGACACATCTTGCCAATTCCCTCAGACTGGATTGGCGCTCTTGAGAAAGATGTACCTTGGACTCCACCCTATCTATGATTGCCCCCAGATGGAGCAATCAAGTAGAGGGGACCAGATGGCTTTTGGCCAGATTTATGGAAAAGCCATGATTTTGTAAGACCTAAATGGTGGTATCCAGGTCCTGCCTCGCCAGGAATTCCAAACTGGACTGAATAAGGATATCATCCAGATAAAACTGGATCCTTATGGGCAGAGTTTGGAGATGGCCCGCTAGAGCGGCCATCAGGCGGTAAATACCCTGGGAGCGGAGGCCAAATGGTAATGCCCAATATTGGTAATGTTTCTCCGCATAGTGGAAGTGGAGAAACTGTCGGTGTGCCTGATGGATGGGGACATGAAGGTACACCTCTGTCAGGCCCACTGACGTGAGGAAGTCACCCTTTCTGACGCTCTCCAAGATGGTCTGGAGTGACTGCATCTTGAACCGTCAGTAAACAATGTGACAGTTCAGAATCTTGAAATCGAGAATTGCCCTCAATCCCCACCGAGGCCTTCTGTATCACAAACAGTCAGGAATAAAACCCCTGTCCATGTTGGCCCTCTGGAACTGGCTGTATGGCCTGAATATCCAAGAGATGTTTTATGGCCAATTCCATAGGTGCCGGTCATCCACGCCACGCCCTCCAGGCTAGCACTACAGAGCCAGGCTTGTGGACACTGCTTTCGTGGAGTGAAAAGGGGCCGAATCCTTGGTTCCCCTTAGGGTCAGCCCGTGAGTGGTGCCCTGAGATCTGCCAGCCGGCAGTCTCCTTGCCACCCACACGGCCTTCAGCGGGCTTGGGGTAAGTCACCCTTCATGCTGGAATACGCAGGGAGGCTCAACCAGCTGAACTGGGAGCCGCCCCTGAAGATCTTTTAAAATTTTGTCCAAGTTTGTCAATGGAAACATTCAGGAATAGGTCAGCTCAATGAAACACATCTGTTCAGCTAGATTGACTCTAAAAGCTGGGAAGCAAGAGGAAGAGGCGTGGGTTTACAAATTGAAGACTCAGTTCATCAGCTGACAGACGGCGTTAATCCATTCCTGACTGCTGTTACCACCGTTATGGAGAATATCAGATACATTTAAAAGAAATGTATTATGTAAAGAGAAGATCCAAGACTTTATATTCTGAACTATGAATCAAAAGATTCTTACTACTAACTTTCCATGTCCAGAATGTAATATAAAATTTAATGCAATCATCAGTCATCTGATTTCTTAGCCTAAACCTTTCAACAGTGGCATAATTTATTTTATTTATTTTATTTTTCATATTTGTATACCGCCCTACTCCCGAAGGACTCAGGGCGGTGAACAGCCATAATAAATACAAATACATATAGAAGTTAAAAACTATTAAGAAACAGATTAAGTAATTTAGGCTCAAAGATTAAAAACATCCAAATTTATCTAAAGAGGTTTAAAACCCAATTTAAAAGCCAGTTTAAAAGCCAATTAAAAAGGGAGAGTTAGGCCAGACCAGCTTGTTGGAATAGAAATGTTTTCAGGGCACGGCGGAATATGCGTAAGTCTTGGATGTTTCGTAACTCCGGGGGAAGCCCGTTCCAGATGGTAGGTGCCCCCACAGAAAAGGCTCTCCCCCTGGGGGCCGTCAGTCGACATTGTTTGGCCGACGGCACCCTGTGGAGTCCCTCTCTATGGGAGCGAACTGGTCGGTGAGAGGCTATTGGTGGCAGGAGGTGGTCTCGTAAGTACCCTGGTCCTGAGCCATGGAGCGCTCTAAAGATAGTAACCAAAACCTATAATGACCTATATCCATTTTAAATATGTTTTAATGATTACTAATATAGTTGAAGGCCAGCATTTTAAATATGTAAAAATGTATTATTTGTTTAGGGGATTTCTGTACTGCCGTACTACTTAAGGTTGCATAAAATAATATAAATTCTAAATATAAACTACAGTCTAAAAATGAAACAACAGAGTTAAATCAAATGTGGCAGTAGGCAATGCATTAGATTTGGCTTGAAAATAAAGACCAGACAAAACTAAAGCAAAAAATAGGTTGAAAGCCTAGGTTGAAAGCCTAGGTTGTACACATATGTGTGTGTATTTGTGATTATCTATAATCTCTGACTGCTATATAGAAATTATCTAGAACAGTCTCTGTATAGTTAAGTGGTAGAGCAAAGCAAATATACATAGCAGCCATATCTTTCCTAAAATCAGGTGTGTTTGCTTTAACAAATTGCTGATAAATTCTATGTCCATGGCAAAATATCTTTCTTCTTTTACATTCAGAGTTGCGTATCACTAATAAAAATTAAAAGAGCTAGACTCAGTCTGTATAACATAAAACAGATGCATTTAGGAGGTTCATAAGCCTGGCCTGAAAAGTAGATTCTCCCCTTCATTGACACTTCCCAGCAATCAGTCTTTATGCTGATATGTAACCTATACTGCATATGATGCAAAAGTAGTAATACAGATAAAAATATAATAAATAAAAATATAATTTAGATTAAATTGTCCTTCCCATTATATATATATATATATATATATATATATATATATATATATATACACACACACACACATACATATATACATATATATATATATACACATACATATATATATATATACACACACATACATATATACATATATATATATATACACATACATATATATATATATATACATATATATATACACACACATACACTGTATATGTATGTATATGTGTGTGTGTGTGTGTATGTATATGTGTATGTGTATGTGTGTGTGTATGTATGTATGTATGTATGTATATATGTAAATAATGTTTTCGTAGATTTTCATGAGTAGAGGTATGCAAGTCTTGGCGTATTCGGGTCTTTTCCCGTGTAAGATTGAGAGTATCTTGGCGACGTTTCAACGAAGTCCCACTCGTCATCTTCAGGCTGGTGCCTTCGGCTTTGTGCCTGTGCAAGCAAAGCGTAATCAGAGCTGCCGTTTCTCTATAAATACTGGTGGGGAGGTGTGGGGTGCTGGCTTTGTTGCTGTGAGTGGGTTGATGTAACAACACAGGTAACCAACCCGCTCACAGCAACAAAGCTAGCACCCCACACCTCCCCACCAGTATTTATAGAAAGACGGCAGCTCCGATCATGCTTTGCTTGCACAGACACGAAGCCGAAGGCACCAGCCTGAAGATGACGAGTGGGACCTTGTCAAAACGTTGCCAAGATACTCTCAATCTTACATGGGAAAAGACCCGAATATGCCAAGACTTGCATATGCCTACATACATACATACATACATACATACATACATACATACATACATATTAATAAATCATTAAAACTGGAGTCAATGAGATAGAAAGTTATAACGACTGAAGGATATGCTTAAAATCTCCGAAAATATATAGTCAAGGAAAGAAAGAAAATAGAATAAAGAAATCAGCATATGCTTTGCAGATCACAGGAACTTGGAAACCTGCCAGGACCTTTTTTTTTAATGAATGGAACAGTGTAAAACAGTTATTTCCTAAGATATCCAGGGGTAAATCTACAACTCGAATATCATGCAAAAAAAATTAATAGATACATTATTTAGTCATTTTTTCTATTTTGTTCAAATTCCTAGTATTATTTTTTGCCACTATCTGTTTAAACAAAAACAAAAGTGCTATTTTATGATTTTTAAAGGTATGCCAGTATTAAATTATAATAAATAGTAATTTTAATGAACTATTAGGGTAACACTGCACAAAACTGAATATCATTTTAAACGAGGAAGATTTTTGTAGTTGCTGCCATGCAGTTTCCTAAACTATTGAATCAAGAAATCTTAGCATTTAAGTCATTAAATACATTTACATTTTAAAAATAATAAAATCTTTTCAATGTAATTAAATCTTACATTATTTTGTGTCCTTAATGTATATTAAAAGAAAAATCAATTCTTCTTAAGTTTAATTTTAAATTTATATATTCAAATCAAATGATGTCATGTTTCCTGCATTTATATTAATAATTTATCCTTATTGGTTTTAATTATTCCATCATATTAACACTTCTGTTATTAAACCAGTATGAATACTTATATATAAGGTAGAGAGATGCAGTTAGAGAAAACAGTTCAGGCTGAATCAGCAGTCTTATTCTTTATACAGTAGCCTTAAAGATTTTAGGACATGCAAGTGACTTTCAATCACAGGCACCCTTTGAATCTCTGAAACTGTTTAATATAGCTAAACCAGTCTCAGCAAATAGCATCTTTTGTGACTGGCAGCAGCACTCCAGGGTTTGAAACAGGGATCATTCTCAACTCCACAATGGACTGTGATTATTTTAAATGGAGTTATATCTTGCATGAATGTAGGTGGTCGACCTCATACAGCCTCTCCAGAAGATATCATCAGTGATTAATTTATTTCAAATGCCACCCACTTGTAAACTCTTGTAGACATTTGCTATTTTACAATTCAGCTTTTAATATTTCACACCATGTTACCTCTAAATTTTAATTTCAAATCAAATTAAATTAAATTCAGCTAGTACTGAAATTTAACCAAAATTGGCTTCTAAAATGTATTAGAAATAGGGAGATTTCTCAGGTATAGATTTGAAGAACTTCAAAGGAAGCCAGTAATTTAAAACAACCTAGAAGTTATTTTCTGGTACATTGTTCTTTAAAAATATGATATATTAATTGGGAATAAATATATATTGTAGTAACAGATAATTTCAAATGACTTTTAACACTAATGAATCAAATACAAAACAAAAAATTTACTTACAGTATTTCAAAGCAGGGGCTGAATCTGAAATAAAAACAAGACATTGTAAATATACAATTGTACAATAAATATATTGAAATGCAATCTTTGGCAATACTTTAGAAATTAAAGAAATTCTGATTATTAACAGACTAGTTTCCACCAATTATTCCCTGTTTTTGTAATAACTATATTTAAGAACATCCATTGTCTAAATTGCAATGTTTACAGTATCAAAATTAGTTTTGTTAAGTATAATTAATTTCACAATTATATACTTCAACATATATGTGCAAGGGAAAAATGTTTCTGGAAGACTTAGGCTGCACTCTAATGCTGAACAAAGGTCAGTGTGAAATTCATAATAAATGGTGAAAGTTATTATTCTATTGGCATAGAGATCACTTATTGGAATGTTATGGAATGATGGGACCAAACAACATTCCTGGGTCAGCCAGAGACAGTTTATTGCGCAGTTTCAGAATCAGATTTGTATCAGCAATTCTGAACCAAGAAGAGCTCTGATACAACTGCTTTTATACATCTCCAAGACAAAGGATTTTACGAGCACAACAGTTTTCCATATATGGTTAACATACATTGGTTACATGATAATTGACACTTTCTAATTACTAAATTCCTTCATTATTTTCTAGTTCATAAAATTATCTTAGCTAAACAATCTTCCTCAGTTCTGTGATTGCTGATGCTTAGATTCATGGCTGCTTTGGATAATAAGTAACTTTTGTTTCTTATGGATGTCCTTGCATCCTTGACAGCTAGGCCCCTCAGAAGATATATATTACCAAGAATGGAATTTAGCTGACTTAGTGTAATCTCTAAACAAGCACATTTCTTTCTTATAATAATGTGAATAAAGAGGGTCCTTTAGTGTTCATATAGCTGACCCTGTACTATTCCTACACCATTCATATTAGGAATATCATTTATGTCTTCCAGAATTCTTATGGCACACAGGAACAAAACTGTATTGAGAACGCCTTTTGGATTTAGGTAAAATAACATTTGAAGAGCTGTTTTTTTTTCTTCTTTTATGTCAGAGTTTGTTGCAAAAATCAAATCCAGAAAGCACACACAGGCAAACTGATTCAGCAGAATTCATTAACTTCTTTATATACATTTACACATAAAGTAAATTAACAATACCAACAGCAGATTCTTCCAACGTGGTAGAGAAGAGAGACTGTAAGTATGTTCTTAGTTTTAGTTTCAGTTCAGCAGTCTAGTTTCAGTTTCAATTCTGCAGACAGACTAATTTCAGTTCTGAGCACCCTCCAAAACTGTTTCAGTTTCTAAACAGTCCCCATTGGCTGATTTAGTTGCTATGCCTATTCATTGGCTGACCTTGTTACCATGTCTTCCCAGTCATGAATATTCTGACATTCTGTTCAGGTTTTTTGGCTCCTTCTGTTTAGGTTTTTTTGTTCCTGTGTTGGCTGCTGGCTGTTGGAAATTGTCTGGACAAGCCCCTACAGGTTTTTTTGGCAAGGATTTTTGGAAGTAGTTTTCCATTGTTTCCTTCCTAGAGCTGAGTGAGAGTGACTGTCCCAAGCTAACTTTGTATCTATAGTCTGGTCTCTGTCCTAACCAGAATTAAATTAAAATATTCCAAATTCATAGTTTAGCAAGCTATCATGGGAAATGCTTTTCACTAGATCCAGAAAACTACAGATCAGTAGAATACACTGTTGCTTCCTACTCCAATTCCACCAATTCTCTATGAGTAATTTAATATCACCGAAACTTTACATTTTCCAAGCAATTAAATATTTATTGTTACATCAAGAAACCACATTAATAATTCATTTTCTCCCTCAACTTTTGAATGCAGGCTTCTAACAAAACATATATACTTTCAACAAAACAAAACAAAATCCAAATGCATATACAAAAACTGCATGCAAAAAAATAATAATTCCTGAGTATCTCATAAATGTCTGTGTAATAGCTAATGAATGTTACCATTCTTCTACTTTATCATTAACATTATATGATGTTTTGATTTTTAGATTTTTGCATGAAGATTGCTAGTTAAATGGTTTCATGTTATCATTATTTTATAAGATTTATTAACTAGTAATGTAGGATTACTGCCTATTTGTTTAATTTTTAATTTGCTTTTTCTCAATTAACTCAAAGCAGGACACACTGTATTTCTTCATACTTTATCTTCATGTTATGAAATCATACAGTGAATGAGCCAAAGTCATTCAGCAAACTTCATAGCAGAATGAATATTTGAACCATGGTCTACCAAGCTCTAAATGTTAAAAAAAAATGTTCTTTGTATATCTCTATCCCATTTTCACTCTCTTAATCTAAAGTATACAATGAAAAGATATTCTTGAGAAGAGAACTTGGTAGGCACTTCCAAATTCCCAGGAGCAAGTAGCAATAGACTTGATATAAATATAAAAAATTGAAGTTGGTTAAAATATGTGAATAGAATTTTATAGTATTTGCATTTTCAGGTATTATTACAATCAATAAATCAGAGCTAAGACCAGACAATAAAGATAAAATACAGACCCAGTTAATTATCTCATTATTTCCAATGTAAAATAATCTATAGATGTAGATTAAATTTTACAAAATACTTTTATTAAAGATCATAGTATTTATAGTAAGAATTGCATCCTTACATAATGTATTTGTGACTGAAACTTAGGCTATAAAACATGAGGCAGATGTAAGTAAGCCAATTAATTTCAATAGTAAAACACTCTCTTTATGCCAGGGTGGATAAAAATCAATGATTTAAAAAAAATAAAAATAAAAAAAATCAGATTTTTTTTTATTTAAATCAGATTTTTTTGATTTAAATCGGATTTTTTAAATAAAATGCTTTTTGAGGAAAATATATTACCATCCAAAGGTTATTCCATCATGAAATAAAGATTAGTTTTTTAATTATGTAGAATAAGGCTGTATATGTTTAATTTTTTTAGTAAATAAATTCCATTAATCCATTCACAATGTCATGCTCTTTCAGAGGTTTTTGTAAGATTATTGGGCAGTTTCTCTGCCTACAAGGTATTATCACAGATGCTTGGTTTACTTTTGCAGTTCTCAAAACTGAATTTGACTCAGCAGGTCACATGCCTCTTCTTCACAGCAAAAATGTTATAACATGAACAGAGTTGAGAAAAAGACCTTAATCCTATTGTTCTATAAACCTATGAATACAGAATCAACCCCTTCAGTGCTAAGTTTCAAGAAGATCAGTGACTAGAATAGAAACAATATTTTTCTGATTGTTTGGAGTGGAATAGATCTGCACAAGAAGAAAGTGAAACTAAGTGTGAGGAGGAAGGGGCAAGCAGACAAGCAGTACAAAATGAAAGTGAAACTTTCTGAGCACAATACTGCACAGCCACAGACAGACAAGTCTTTGGATCTTTTTGTATGTATGACCTGAGGTTTATCACATTCTTTCCTTGGAGGAAAAAAACCTATAATGGCAGCAGGCCATAAAAGAGACTCAGTTTGGCAATATTTTAATGAAGTTCCTTTACCTATCGGTAAGGCAGGCATGCGTGCAAACTGCAAACACTGCAACAAAGAAATGCAAGGCCTGGTGGCCTGAATGAGGCAACATTATGAGAAGTGCTGTGATGAAGATGACCAAAGAAACACATTTGAACAGGCAGGATCTTCAGGTTGGTAAACATTTTTATTGAATCATATTTCTAAAGACTGCCTTGACCTGTCATGTTTGAGCAAAATTATATTTCTTATTATTACTGCATGTTACTATCATTTGGTACAGTTATGAAGAAAAGCAAATATTCCTTTTGGGGCAGTGCTGTGTACAATAAGCAGAAATTGTATAAACAATAAAATAAAGCATTGACTTTTTTGTTTAGGGGAATTCATGGATTCTGGAAACTATCCACCTTCAAGATCACCATCCTCCTGTTCTACAGTTTCAGAGTTATCCATCCAGGATAGTGCTTCATTAGCATCATCATCATCAGACACCCACAGCCACATATCACTATCACCTAAAAGAAAGAAAAAACCCTTCCCTCCTGGAACCACCATAGATAAGTTTGTGATAAAACTAGCAGATTAGAAAAAGAGTTAATTGATGAAAAAATTGCCCAGTTTGTTTATTATTATTATTATTATTATTATTATTATTATTATTATTATTATTATTTCAATTTATATGCCTCCCTTCTCCTATTGGACTCAGGGTAGTGCACAACCAAGGATAAAAACATACCAATACAAAATTTAAAATCAATTAAAAGAATTATACAGCTTTGGCCCACAATTTTAAACAATCCAATTAAAACCCAGTTTACACATAAAAAACTAAAAAGGTAAAAAGAGCTAAGGGAGGGGGGGGGTCATGCCAGCCCTGCTTGATGGAAAAGAAAAGTTTTTAGGTCATGGCGAAAGGCCCGGAGATCTGGTATCCTTCATATCTCCGGGGGCAAATCATTCCAGAGGGCAGGTGCTGCCACAGAGAAGGCCCTCCCCCTGGGGGTAGCCAGCCGACATTGCCTGGCTGACGGTACCCTGAGGAGTCCCTCTCTGTGGGAGCGTACTGGTTGGTGGGAGGCTATCGGCGGCAGAAGGCGGTCTCGCAAATACCCAGGTCCAATGCCATGGAGCGCTTTAAAGGTGGTGACCAACACCTTGAAGCACACCCGGAAGACCACTGGAAGCCAATGCAGCTCGCGCAGGAGAGGCATTACATGGGAGCACCCTCTTGCTCCCATAATCCCCCGCGCAGCCGCATTCTGCACCAGTTGGAGCCTCCGGGTGATCCTCAAGGGGAGCCCCATGTAGAGAGCATTGCAGTAGTCTAGGCGGAAAGTGACGAGTGCCTGAGTGACTGTGCGTAAGGAGTCCCGATCCAGAAAGGGCCGCAACTGGCGAATCAGGCGGACCTGATGAAAAGCCCCCCTGGCCACGGCCATTTATGCAACGAACTCTTCTTTCCGTCTGACTGAGAACCCACATTTCATTAATATGGTTCAGTCACTGAGACCAGGATACAGTCCACCCAGCAG